CTCCCCCGATTCGGCCGCTGGTCAGTTTTAGCAGCGGCTGAATAGGGGAAGCTGGGGGCAGAGCAGCTCCAATGGTCCGGCTGTGGAGCACTTCCGGGTTCCTGATGGTGCCGGACCATCAGGAGTGCCGGACCATCAGATGCCAAACCAATGGAGTTTTACTGTATTAAGAAAATGAAGAAAGAAAGGAAAGAGAATGCTATGGAACACAATCAAGAGGTAAACAAGGGGAAAGAGGGAAACCAAACCAGAAACGTGTGCTGCTGTGGCTTGTTAAGCAACATTTTAAATAAAATGAGACAGAGCAAAGTGAGAAAATACAGACAAAAAGGGAAAGAACAAGAGACATTTAGATTAGTGACAACTAGGGGCTGATCCCCCTGCTCCTTATGCTCACCAAACCCCCTCTCTCTGGAGATAGGCAGCCCCAGCTCTCCCCTCAGCCACTGGAGAGGGCCGGGCCGAGGCATGGCAGCCCTGGCCTGTCCCATCCCCTGGGCCTAAACCAGCCCAACCCTGGTTCCCTCCCCCCCACCCAGCTACCAAGGCAGGGGAGCTGAGGCTGAGCTAGCCACAGTTCTACCCACTTCAACTTCCCTCCACCCCCAGCCACACCAGCCCTGGCCACAGGCTTTCCTCCTGCCCTGGCCATAAGGCAAAGCCAGGCCACACAGCCCCAGCTCTCTTCCCACTGGCTGCCGGGAGGGGGGGCAAGGCCAAGGCCTCTCCAGGCATTGTGCTCTCCCCCTGGCCACCGGGGGTGGGAGGGCGAGGCCACAACCCAGCAGCCCTGATTCCTTCCCCCTACCCACTCTACCCCCGGAGCACTGGGTAGTGGGGAGGAGGGAGGCTGTGACACAGGAGCCCTGGCTCCTGAGCACTGGAAAAAAGGAGAGGGGTGAAGGAAGAGGCCAGGAGGGACACAAAGTGGTGTGATGACTATTCTCCTGCAGGAAATTTTTTTTTGAGAGAGAGAGAGAGAGAGAGAGAGAGCGCGAGCGCGAGCGAGCGCTCACTTCTCAGATACTACAGTGAAAAGAATAGAACATCCATGTTTCTTTGTATTTTTCTGGAAAGGATCTTACAATTATGTTAAGTTGTACTGTGAAGGTAAAGAGGACAAATGGATGCTAAGCATGTCATTTTCTGTTGGAAGTCTACAGCTTGTTTAAATAATCTATAGACAGAATGTTATCAAGTTATATTGAAATACTGTGATGAGTTACTTTTACAGAACTGTTGCTCACTTACATTTTGTAGGATTTTTTTCTTTATAAAAGCAGTGGCAAAAAATTTTTTTTCCTTAAGCAGGTTCTCCTTTCTGGAGCAAGGTTTGTGTTTTGTAGGGATTTTTGCCTATATGCTTGTTATGTACACTATTCTCTTCTGTGTTATTTTCTTCAGAACTTCTTGAATTTTTCCATCTAAGCCCCTAAAAATGTCATGCAAATGAGTAATATCCGGAAATTAACAGAGGTCAGCCTGTGCACCTCATCTTGCAGGATTGGGGCTTTGGTTTGTTAGTGTAACTGGATCTTTACCTGAAGCCTGGGATTTGCTACATGAGGATGCTTAAATGACACCAATTCTGCACAAAACAATCCATCTCTGGAATCAATGGCTTCTTGGACCTACATAAGAAAATTCAAGAAAACAATTATATACTTTAAGGAACAAGATTTAGTCTTAACCATGTAATACATATTGCCACATTGCTAATAAAAACATGCTTTTGTGATGACATTCTCATTCTTGTTAATGACTCTGCAAATATTAATTTCACATGTTATTTTCACTGGCTAAATTTGGAAGACACATTAAAATTCGTCAACCAGGAAAAAATCAGACATCTTTATTTTTCCTTAGCTATACAAAGTAGCTCAGATCAGTGACCTCCCAAGACAACTATATGGGTTTGCTGGCTGTAGAATTTTAAAACTTTGTATATCTGTAGACAGATTTCTATAAATTAAAAGGAAAATTGTGGGCATAAATCAAGTTATATTTTATTGTTGGAGTTGCTGAAAGGAAGGATAGTTTGGGTTTAATTAATAAGGACTCAAACGTATTTCACATGCATATTAGTATTTAATAACACAAACTAATAAAAAAAACTAATCCTGCCTTCCCTACTCAAAACATCTTCCCTTTCACATCAATGGGCAGTTTTTCTTAAGCAGGAGCTACATGACTGGACCTGAGTATCTTTGTGAACTCATTTAAGTCAATTAGGCTTGGTCTACACTGCAGCACTATTATGGGATACCCTGGGTATCCCAAAATAGGTATTCCGCATCTTTGGAGCACGCCTGTTATTTTGAAATATAATGAGCTCACTATTCCAATGTCCCTGTAAACCTTATTCCACAAGGAGTAAGGGACATTTTGGAATAACAATTTATTTCAAAATAAGTGCTGTGTAGACAGCGCCAAAAATCAAAATAAGCTATTTCAAAACTGACTTGCAATAAGCTACCCAATTATTTCAAGCTATGAGAGCAGTGTAGACACACCCTTTAGAGTTTTGGGTATGGATGGGATATAGGATTGCGTACATAGCATTACAGGCAGTCCCCGACTTACGTGGATCCGACTTATGTCGGATCCGCACTTATGAACGGGGCTTTCTCGCCCCGGAGGTCGAGGTGGCGGATTGCTACCTGCGAGCTCCGGGGCGAGAAAGCCCCGTTC